TATATATATATATATATATGTGGAAGTTTTCTGTTACCTTGGGCCTTTGGAGGCAGTGTTGCAAAAGCAAACACAAAATATAGGAAACTATTGCCAAATGCTGAGTTTACTTCTTGTGGTCGGAAATAAACAAGTCAGACATTAAGGAGCACTAATACCTTTAGCAGATGCTTTATTTGTGAAAAATGAAACTGAAGATACAAGGCATCTTTTTATCCACAGTCCAATTGCTCGTCAACTTTTGAGTAAAACAGCATACACTATTTGAAGTGTGAACAAAAGACAAAATAAATAGAACCAAAGCAAAACAGTCCAGGAATTAAATGCATTCCCTCATAGCCATTTCTATTACTCATTCTCCTTTCCCTTCAATAACAACAACAATAACAACAACATACCCAGTGTATTCCACAAGTGGGGTCTGAGGAAGGTAGTATGTACACAGACCTTATCCCTACCTTTCCCATCATACTTAGCAATTTCAATAATGTCTCACTATGAAAGCTGAGTATCCATGTTTATACCTGTGACTTGCTGTCTGTAGTAGCAATTTTTGGAAAAGTATTTAGATTGCATTTCTGAGTGCTATGTGTCCATCAGATGGCAAATAATTCTATTCGTGGACTATTTTCTTTTTTCCTTTTTTTTTCTTCTTAAATGTCTATGAGAAATCTATGCAAACAAGAATCATGTTGCAGATTGTCGTATCCATCATCACTTATGTTCATGCAAAGTTTTTCTGGAGGGGGTGAAAATTCCGTATTAGCAATTGCAGAAGGTTGCCAGGTGATGTTCCTTTGTTTTTCATTTTCTTATGTTGGAATCATGCAGAGAATTCCCTGTTCGTTACTGATTCCTCTCTGCACTCTATATTGACTGCAGCTGTCAATATGGGACTTGAGAATGAAAGAAAACGGTGGTTGCGTGCGTCGAATCTGTGGATCAGTAGGAGATATCTTGTATGCACTCTGTAATTCTTCAAAAGGTACTATTGCAACTGGTGGAGCTGATCGCACTGTGACCGTCTATGATCCTCGAAGGTTGTTTCCTCATGAAGCTTTACTTGGTCCTGAGGGATTGTTTGCTATACTAGTATAAAGAAAAATTATATTTACAGTGTTCTTGTGNTTGTTTCCTCATGAAGCTTTACTTGGTCCTGAGGGATTGTTTGCTATACTAGTATAAAGAAAAAATTATATTTACAGTGTGCTTGTACGCTTAATCAATTGCAGATCACTTGGAATACACTATGCCAACTTTGATCTTGTCTATCATCTCATACATTTCTAATCTTTGCATTCTTTTGAAAGGAATATTGCGGTTTTTAGCACTAGGATATGTTCTCTCTTGCAACTTCTCATGAAGTGTGTAATTATCTCAGCTTCCTATGTCTGCTTCAATGTCCTGATGCGAAATATACATTTCAAATGCAGGTGGTCAGCCAT